AAGCTTGGACCAAAACTGAGTACATGAAACATGGCTACCTAGGCTCATTTTGTGGCAGGTGCCCAGGGCTTCTCACTTCTCAGTAGCTCTGGGCCAATTCTGCCACATGGTCTGGGACAAGCTGTGCGGTGTGTCTCAGTTCCTCCCATTCCGAGTTCACTCTGACCCTCTTCCCCACTCTTGTAGTGATTTTAGGAGAAAGGATATGCCCTGGCAATTTTCCTTTGATGTGAGATAATGTTTCCCAGAGCAAGGATAAAAATCAGGAGAGCTTCCTGGCACACAGTTGGCAGTTATTCTAGAAAACCAACAGGGAGTGCCAAGGGCCATGTTGGGTTCCCCTGTAGCAGCTGCAAGAGAAACACTTCCCATCTGAGAGCACAAAGCAGTGCATAAGGGCTCCATGAGGAATGTGCCATCAGGCAGGCCGGCAGAGTCTAATGCATGATTGTTTGTGTTTGTCCAGGGACAGCTGGCAGTTGGCCAGTGCTTAGCCAAGTTGATCTTTGCCCCATATGTCCTAGTGACTAGCAGAACCCACAGAGTGGGTCACACTATCAGTCAGTGATTACAATGTAAAGTCACAAGTCCAATTGTTAACTAAACAAAATGTGCTGTGCAGAATGCACATGCAGAGGCTTGCTCCAGGTCACTTGTAGAATGTGGAATCCATGCACGCCCTGTTTGTTTTCTTTCTGTCATTTGTAGTAATTTATCACTTTGGTGCAATAAATATAGTAAGAGGGAAAGAAACTGCTCAAAAGGAATGAACAATTGGGATGAGGGAAAGGAGAAAAGAAAGAAAAAAGTCATGGAAAAATCATGTACACACACACACATTAGCTGATGTTTGTACTACTTTTGATTTTTTGAAGGGAGCAGTTAATACTTAAAATTTTTATTTTGATAAATTTTGCATGCTTCTATCTGGTAATCTGAGTAGACAATGTGCAATGTAATGACCATTGTTGAATTCCTATTGTCTTGTCTCATTTTTTTTTTAAATTCAGTATCATTTCTAGTATCTTACTTATTATTTTTTATAATTAGCACAGATATACAGCTACTTTCTCTTAGTTCAATGAGAGGAAAGATATGTACTAATAGTGTTTGGACAGGATATCGCGTCTGTATCCTGTACTATGAATAACTACTACAAAGACAATACTATGCAATGTATTAATTATTGTAACTGTCCTACTAACCTGTTTTGAAACTGTCTCATTGCTATTTGTTTCTCAATAAAATTAATATAAAAATAAAATAAAAAAACCAGAAATTCTTCACTTGGTAGTTCCCTTCCTTTTTTTTCACTTTTGAATTTTTTATTTTTTTCCATAATTTTATTGAGAAACAAATAGCAATGAGACAGTTTCAAATCAAATTGGTAGGACAGTTTCAATAATTAACACACTGCATACATTCTTCTTAGTGGTTAATTGCTGTACAAGATGCAGACTTGAGATCCTATTTACAAATGCCATTAGAACAAATTCCTCTATTCATTAAGAGAACATAACTATATATCTATTCTAAC